GAAGCAGGAGGCAGCACCAGGCTGAGCAGGAATTGCTTTGTATTTAACAGCAATACAGCATCGAGCATCACCACACCTCAAGAGTCACCAAGAATGCAGAAAAATGTATCCCTTCCATGTAGGTACCATTGACAATTAACCAGCTCAATTTCTTGGAGGAGGTGCTTTGGGGGACAGTCTTGATTCTGCAGGTCTGGAGTGCCTCATCCTGGCTGGGCAAATTTGTTCTGCTCCACTAGCACAAGCTCTCCACTCCAGGTCAGGCAGAGAGCAAAGCCTCCTGGAAAGCATTGGTGCATGGCACCAACAACCACACAAGGGGAAGGCAGGGATCAAAGCAGGGAGCACAGAGGGCCTTTCCCTTCAATTCTTTTGTGTAAGTCAAAGAGAAGTCAAGGAAACCCTCAGAAAAGCAATTGGCAAAGAGAGGAAAGGAAATGCCATTACAAAACTGGAAACCTCATCTTCTTGTTGGTGCCTCTTTGGCCTGAGCAAAGCCCGAGATGAGACACCGCTACATGGAGCTGCTCAGTGATGAGTAACACTCCCTCCTGCCTTCCTTTGGGGGCTGCTCATTACAGGCAGGACAGACAGACAGACAGACAGAGCATGCACCGGGGCAGGGGAGGACGAAGGAGAGAAATCTTAATAATCAGCCTAAAATTGATTCACTTCTGCTCAATCTGATTTCTCCTAACTGGATCCACATGTCCTGGCCATGGCACATTAACTTCAATTATGGCTTATTAACGTCTCCGTGATGGAGCGTGCCCTGCTGAGCACCGCGGTGACTGACGTTACAGAGGGGAAAAAAAATTACTCCAAAGAGACACGGTGTGTAATGGAAAGAGAAGCAGCGGCTTTCATCGTGCCCACTGTCAGTCCTGGCAGCCAGGAAAGCTCATTCACCCATTCCTGAGAAGATGACCGAGCTCGTTGCTGCACCGAGGAGAAAACTCAGCGGTGAATAGAAATCTGTGGGGAAAAGTCTTTCCGCTTCCCTTCCCCACCCGGCTGGCAGCCGCACAAGCACACAGGCCAAGGGCTTGCTCATGTCTATTCCTGTCTTGACTCCTCTGCATCTCCAGTTACTCTGTGGATCAATAGGGACAGGATGGAAGAAGAAAGAGAAAAGAAGAAAAAAAAAGAAAAGAAAAAGATACCAAGAAGAAAGAGAGTAAAAATAAACTGTCAGCCATGAACGGAGAAATGGATCCGGCTGAGGGTGTGGGAGAAGGAGATGCTGACGGAGCAGAGGGGACCCTGAAGCACCAGCTCATTCCACCAACGGCCAGGAAGGAAGCAATGACCCTCAGGATTCACCAGACCCTCTGGAGATCCTCATAAACTCTTGAACCTCCTCAGTCCACCTGGCCTACAGAAGGGGAGAAAGCAGCAAACTCCTTCCCCTTCTCCTCAAGTCCTTTGCTCCCTTTCTGCTTTTCCCAAAAGCTCTGGGAGATCGTGGTGAGGGGGTTTCCTTGGTGGGAAGCAGAGGGGTGAAGGGCCTGGGTATATCAGAGACACCTCTCTGAAGCCACCAGCTAAGGCTGTGGCATGAGAAGCCCCCCAAGGCTCACAGACTGCTCTGAGACCAAGGCGTTTTGTTCTTCCCTTGACCATGAGCATCAACTGGAAAGGAGCTGCAGTGTCCAACCACCCTGCAGGCACTGCCAGCTGCCTGCCAAAATCCCGGTGCCATGTGGGGGCACAGGTGATGCCACACACCCTGATGGCACACACCGCTCCTCTGATGCCACACACCACTTGTCTGATGCCACACACTGCAGCTCACATCTCTAAGTCACCAGCTCCTCTGCTCTCCCTCCTGGTGGGTTTTTTCTGGCTGCTTTTGAGCCTTCATTTCTTTACAGTCATCTTCCCTCTCGTTTTCCATGGCCCCTGTAGTGGATCCCTAGCACCACCCCCCCCTTTTATCTAGGCATTTTCCTCCTGTTCTTCAAACATGGTTGTTCCCACGTCCTGGAAGAGGCAGCATCCCAGCCCAGCCTGCCCTGCCTCCCCCCTTCCCTGCACAGCGCTGACATTGATTTCTCCTGTCTTCCCCTCAATAACCCACCCCTTGTTGAGCCATACACAAGATTTAATTTGGTTTCAGTCCTCGCACTGTAACTGGCTTTGCTTGCAGCTGGAATTAGATTGCTTTCCAGTGAAAAAAACCTGCTTGCTGGGACCGGAATAATCACAGGAGCAGAGTTAATTCACATGAAACTTCTTCACCTTATACACCACTTATCCACAGCTCCTCAGCCAGTGGCTCTGCCTGGCCGGTGCCCATCGGTGCTGGAAGAGTCAGCCCAGGACAGACATCGATGTGTTCCTTATCCAGGATGAGTGTCCCCTTCTCCTGGGGGCCAGCCCAGCGAGCAGGGAGAGCCAGAGCTGGCTCAGTCCAGCTCAGGACTTGGAGTCCGGGATGGAAAAAAATAAGCAGATTTCAGATTTTTTCTTTGTCCCCTGGCCAAGGAAAAGCCCTCTCCTCCCTGAGGCCCTGCTGCATCTGAGGAGCTGCTGTTGGGCATCTCTCTGGGAGCAGAGCCGGGAGGGAGTTGCTGCTCTGCAGCAGCCACGGGCAGTCGGCCACGCCGGCAGCGAGCCAGCGCCTGGGGGGGCTGCCAATGACCAGCCAACAAACCCCAACCCGTCTCATTTGGGCCCCAGCAAAAAAAACCCCAGCATTGCAGCTTCCACCAGGCATTCACAGCCCCACCTTCCCTCACTAGGGTGCAGGCAACTGTGGATTCTCAGATGTCTCGTAGAGGTTGTGCTCCCCACTTTCGTGTCCTCCAGCATTGCAGCTTCCACCAGGCATTCACAGCCCCACCTTCCCTCGCCAGGGTGCAGGCAACTGTGGATTCTCAGATGTCTCGTAGAGGTTGTGCTCCCCCCCCCCACTTTCGTCTCCCAGGGGTGTTTGAAGGGGCTTTCCTCCCCTGCCACGGTTGCTTCTTTTCACAAAGTTTTTAGGGATTTTTATCTCTTGAAGTAATTTCTGCTGCTATTAAATGTCTCAGATGTCTCGTAGAGGTTGTGCTCCCCCCCCCCACTTTCGTCTCCCAGGGGTGTTTGAAGGGGCTTTCCTCCCCTGCCACGGTTGCTTCTTTTCACAAAGTTTTTAGGGATTTTTATCTCTTGAAGTAATTTCTGCTGCTATTAAATGGTATTAAATTTGGACAGTGAGTTCAAAACCTGCTGGGGGATTGGTGGGGGGAGGAAGACAAGCTGACAGCCAGCAAGGTGCTGGTTTGTGGAGAATCTCACCAGCACGGCTGGAAGTCAAAAGTACTGAAGTGACATATCCTGCAGAAGGCAGGCAGAGAAGTAACAGCCTCTGGGGAGGAAGGCATTCACGGGACACTGAGAGTATTTTAACATGTATCTTAAAGCATCAAGTATCCTGAAACTGCTGCAGGTGCAGTAACAAGTCCTTGGTTATTTCCATGCTTGGAAGCCGAAGGTCATTGCACAAGGGCACCAACCATTTAATCTTAATTTACCACTTTCTAAGCTGAAAATTCTGTGTCCCTGTTCCTGAGTCAAATCAGCCCGAATAAATTGATACACCAGCTCCAACCCTTCCTGCCAGCTGTGCCGGTCAGCGTGGGCTTTGGCTGGGAACTGATCCCTGTGGCTTTGCCACCACTGTCACTGCCACCAAGAGTCCCTGGGGGCAGCCCAGGGGGAGCAGGGCTATGTCAGACAGAGCAGGGGGACAGGACTGGCTGTGGCTGGGGTGGAGGGGAAGGCAACATGCTGGCTTCTCCTCTTCTCTTTGCCTGCTTTCACCCTCTTTACTTTGCTATTTTGCCCCATCCTGAGCTGTTAGATATTGATTACACCCGGCAACACTTCTTATGGGCAGGTATAAAATGTCTCTCTGCACATGTTTATCCAGAAGCAAAACGCACCAAAACCCCAAATCCTGCCCAAGCTCCCCAGATCTCCTCCCCGAGCTCTGGGTGGGCACCCTGACACGCTGCCAGCCGAGCCAAGGGCCATGGTGGCTCATCCCAGCCAGGCGACCGAGCCCCCCTGCCTGCTGCTGCCCCCACCCCTGCCTCCCCCCGCGGGAGCAAAGGGCTCTCCCATCCCTCGCTGCAGCTTCCTTCCCCTTGGAGCCCGTTCAAAGCCGGCCTCGGTGGCACCTGCAAAACATTTTTTGCTTGCACGTCTCAGAAGCAAAGAGTTTGGAACCGAGACAAACGGCTCCTCTGTCGCTGTGGTGATTCTTGTTAGCACGGGGTGGGTGATGGGGAGGTTTTTTTTTTTTTTCCCCTCTCGCCTGAAAGTCTCGCACAAGCTGAATCCACAAGCTGGATGGGAAATTAGCCATCTCGGCATTTTTCCACCTTACTTTGCTTTTTTGGTTGATGTCATAACGTAACATATGGCACCGTACAGAGAAATGAAAAACAAAAAACCAGGAGAAACAAACCCCCTCCTGCCTTCCCCTGCCCCAGATCTGTCAGGGGGTTTACCCTCACCTGAAACTTCATCTGCCGGAGCTGGGGTTTCTCCAGGGGTGCAGGACTGACTCGGGAGATCCCATCCTGCCTGTATGGTGTTGAGCTGGAGTTCTGTGGGGTGAGTATCATTCCTCACTCCCCTGCCCCCCAGATCCACCAGCATCACCCCTAAGATTTTGGGGCAGAAGCTGCCCATGTTTGCACAGCTGGGGACAGGGCATCAGAAGGAACTCAGATCCCAATGGTCCTTCCAGGCCATGTCCCAGCTCCCCCCGTGCCGGCTCCAGGAGGGCACAGCCCTTCTCTCAGACACAGCCTTGGAGGTGCCCCAGCTGTTCTCTGCAAGGACACAACTGTTTTATTACTGATGCTGCCCTGCTGTGGGAGAGACACCGATTACAGGGAGAAACACCGATAATCTTATCTGTCAACAGAAACACCGATGGCTTAGTTTTCTAACAGTAACCCTCTTCTCATCCCTCCGAGAAGAGGCACCCAAAGAAACGCAGTTACCTGCCAGTGACTTCAATGTTGGAGACGGCATAGAAGTACTTGTACAAGTTCTCCCTCTGCACGTAGGTGCCCCCCAGGGCCGGTCTCAGCAGTCTCATCCGCAGGTCGGTCACGGTGAAGAAGTCTTTGAGCCCTTTGGCGCTCTCCAGCCGGGTGTACAAGTTGTCCATGTTCTTGAGGTCAGGGCCAGCAAAGATGGCAAAGCGGTCCCTCACCTCGAACCGGACGGTCTTCTCTTTTTTGGAGCCCGCCCAGCGGGAATACTCCTCCGTGCAGAGGACCCTGTTGGCACTGGTGGTGGAGAGGTCCCGGACCCTCCGTGCTGGCATGCTGAAGGCCTCCATGCAGTCATCTGCGTAATATTGGTATGGGTGCCAAGTCCTCCCGTTGTCCAGTGACTTCTCCAGCATCATGATGGTGGGCCGGCCGTACTCAAAGGTTATCACGATGTCATCCGTCAGCTCGATGCTCTTGTTCCAGGACAACGTGATGTTGGCCAGCAGCGGCTCCGGGTACCGGCGCCACGTCACACTCTGCCAGTACGTGGCCAGCCCTTCGTCCTCGCTGTCAAACATGAGTTTGGGTGGGTGGGCCAGGTCGGGGTTGGAGGCATCGCACTCATCGCTGCACAGGTACGGGTTCTCCTAGAACAACAACAACGGTCACAAGAGAAGAAGGCAATGCCTGGGCATCGTGTGGGCATCTCAGGTGGGCAGGAACTGAGCTCACACCACTACGGGGCCCTCGTTTTACCTGTTCTGTCAAATCTTAACTGCTGGGCTGCACTGGAGATTGCCAGGGGTCTGGCTCTGGGTGATGCTGTTTCTGAGTGTGAATTTAAGACAGAAAGCTTAAGACAGCTTTGCCTTTGCTGTAAGAACTGCTGAGCTGTTTCCTTTGAAAGGTCCTTCGGGAAAGGGCCTTTCAATTTGGCATGGGGGCAATTTTCATAGAAAGCTCTTTCCCTGAGATGGTCTCTGAGAAACTTCACTTAAGCTTGGCCAAGTTACAAGCCTACGGAAAGCTGCGTTCACCCCTGCTCCCTTGCAAGAACGGAATGGCTGAAATCCCCAAAGCACATCCGTGCCTCTGGTGGCTCCTGACGCCGAATGGGCTGGGGACACTCCATCACCCCAGTGCCTCTGAGCAAGCTGGAGGAGGGAAACCAGATTTCATCAGCTCCAAGCTGGGACAGGACTGAGCAGTAGTGGAGAGAGCAGAGATTTGTGCTTCTGGTGGAGCATAAACCCATGACAAATAGAAGGGAACGTCAGCTAATGTCTGCCTTTGCAGGAACCAAGTTGTGTAGCTGTGCCTGGCAGCCCTGCTGGCCATGGGGACAAGGTGCTCCCCAAGTCACACTGCCTTCCCCAGCACAGGCGGGAGGTGCGATGGTCCTCGCCTGCCCACAGGGATCACAGGGGGAAGGACGGCTCATCCCATCCAGGCAACAATGTCTGCTGCCACGTCACTCATTGCCTGCAGGCCTGGGCAACGGGAGAGAAGGTCCAGCCATCCCAGTTTGCCCACAAATGACAGCACATGGCCAAGGCTGCATATTTTGCAGGGACACACGCCCGCATCCACACGTGCTGAACAGCATTAAGGACACACCATCAAGGTCACACGCCAGAAGTTAAGTTTTGGAGGCTGTGCCAAAGGGTTTATTGCTCAACCCTACAGGTGTTAAAGTCTATCATTACAAGCTGGGGTCTCTCTTGCCCTGCAGCCCCCACCTCTGGGAGTGTGTGGGTCAAATCTGCCTTGGGGATGATGTGGGGCTGTGTGTCAGTGGGTACCATCCACAAAAAACCTCTGCAACACGCTGCAAATCTTTTTTTTTTTTTGCATATGAAGCCACAAAAAACCTCTGCAACACGCTGCAAATTTTTTTTGCATATGAAACATCTCTTTGCTGTAGCTTTACTTCCCTCTCGGACTCAAAGTCCAGAGGACTGGGGAGGGAGAGGGATTGGTAGGACAGCAGGCTCTGCTGCGGTGGGACCCTCGTCAGGGAGGCAGGGCCACCTGGCAGAGGAGGAGGAGGTGATAAAGCAGCTGGAGCTGCTCAGAGCTGATGATGGCTGGAGGCAAGGAGGCTGCTGGGGTGTGAGGTCTGACCATCCAGAGTACAACGAATTTGCAAGGTAAGACCGAAGCCAGGTTTTGCTGTTTGGTTTGTGGAAGTTTTGTGTGTGTTTCGGAGCCGGTGGAAGGCTCTGTGTTTGGGGAACAGCGGGCTCCTGCCTGGCCCTGGGGACCTCCTGCAACACCAGAGCAGTGCTGCGGTTCAGGGAGCTGCTGCTGGTACCTTTGGGCTCAAACAAAGGGGGTGCAGGGCTGTGGTCTGCCCAGGCTGGTTGTGTCCCAGGGCTGGGAGAGCCTCACTGCAAGCCTGGGAAGAGACTGCTCTGGTGTCTATGGTGCCAGGGAGTCATCTTGCACCATGGGCTTGCTTTGACCTGGGAAACTTGGAGTCTAAGTGCTTGTGACCTGCTTTTAGGGTGCCCCATGTCTACCTCGGGCCAAGCAGAGGAGGGGATCTGGCTTGCACAAATGGCTGCTCTTGGATGCAAAGTGTGGCTGTTGCTTTGAATGTGGAGAACAATGTGTAACATGAGGTGCTTTGGAAAATCCAGGCTTTGCCACCTCCAGTTGGGCAACCAAAAGTCCTGGGAAGTACTTAGAGCTTCTCCACTCTGTGTCTATAAAATGGGCCTTTGGTGGTGTCCCCCCGCAGCTCGGAGACACGCGCCGAATGCGAGCAACTGTTTGCACAGCGAGTGGAGGCCTCAGCGCCGAGGAGCCTAGAAAAGCTCAGGAGGCCATAAATAATTCCTTCTTCTGAGCAGCGTGTGAGTAGCACGCTGTAAATAAGACAGAAGGCTGCTCCGCCAGCAGCAGGGATAAAACAAAATAGCGAGCAGCTGATCCGTACGTGAGCACCAGGCTCCTTTGCAGGGGATACGATGGGGGCCTTGGGGAGAAAAGGGGACACTCCTGTAAATAAAGCATGTGTCGTGTGTGTGTGTGTGAGGCTGCCAGGGAAAGCAGCAGAAGCCGGTTGATAAAACAGGGCAAAACTCCTACTGTTTTCAACATTGTCTTGCTCTCAGGCAAGCATCTGCCCGACGGTAGAGCCACGAGTGCCGTGCTGGGATTTGCTCCTCCTGTTACAGCCTCAACACGAGCGACGTGTGGCTTTTGCCATCTCCGTGTGTGCTGGGAGGAAGGGCTGCAGCCGGAGCTGCTGAGCTCCAGTGCGGTGCCCGTCCCCGGAGCAGGGAGGCTACTAAATGAAAGCTTTGGTCGATGTTTTAAAAGCAAACGGCTATAGTTTTTACTATTTTTCACTTTCAGCTGTGCCATTTGAGCAAGGGAAATCAATGGCGTGTGCTCAGGCTCGCTCGGGTAGGTCAGGACGAGGGGTGAGGGGACCTGCCCAGGAGCTCCCCACTCTCCTCTCAAGGAGGAGGAGATGCCCTGAGCAAGGGGAGATGGCATCTGGGGTGCAGCAGGGCTCTGAGCCACACTGGGGGGGTCCTCTCCTGCTGTGACGTGCTGTTCTGGAGCGGGGGTTAAAAAAACCTAAGATATTGACATATTTAATATGCTCTCCTGACTCGTCACGTTCAGAGGAATTGTTTACCTCTGCTAATGAGACACAGCTTCCTGCTGGGGGATGTAGCTGCCTCTTAGCACAGCTTTACAGCCGTAAAAGAAAAAGGAAGCAAAGTCCCCATCAGCTGAAGCGCTGGGGGCTCTGAATACGCTTCCTGTGCTGAGGCAACATATTGTGTTGCAGTATGGTCCTCCTGCCAATGTGGTCATACAGATGGCTTAATAGGACGGTCTTGAAAAGACCATCCTGAAGGTCCATTTTAACCTCTTGTCTGAAGGAGGGTGCAGCAGTGCAGCGTCTCGGTGGGCTTTGGTGGGGAATTGGCTTGAGGTGGCAACAGAAAGCTCCCCAATAACCCCCCTACCCCTTGCTGCTCAGAGCAGCTCTGTATGAGGAGGAGCCTGTGTACATGGACCATCCTGGCAAGAGCACTCTTGCTATGTGGATTTCTTTCCTTGCCTGTGGCAGCCATTGGGGCTGGCAAAGTCCTTGAGCTGGTGTAAGATGAATCTCCACTGAGTAGTTCCTGCTAGAGCTGTCCCCAGTATGGCCATGGTGGCCAGCTTCACTTTGAGGGCTAGCGATGATGCTCCTATCAAGGCTTTCTTTGGAGGCTTCCTTAAACAATGGCCAAATTACACAAGGAAAGGGCTCTGTGACCAAACCACAATGAGAAAATGTTACTCAGACTAGTAAAAGGTGGCCAGGGTGAGAGGTGGGACAGGTGTCCCAGGAGCACTGAGGGAAGCAACTGAGTCTGGCAAGCGTGATCCCCCTCCCGGTGTCCCGTCTGGAGGGACAGAGCTGGCCAGGCATGTCCCTGGCAGGGGTCAAGAGCAGGAAGAAGTGGAGCCAAAATTCTGCCTGTCTCCCATATGCTCATCCCAGAGATGAGGGAATGGAGGTGCATAATCCCTGATGCCTCCTGTACATCCCAACCTGGGACCAGCTCAGTAAGCAGCAAGCCCAAAGAGGTCTTTAGCACCTTGATGCTCTGGGGCGGCACACGGCTTGAGATCTATGTGGTTTTAACAGGGCAAACACAAAAATAACCTCTAAGTGACAGTGCTGAAAGGTGGGGGAGAGCCTCAAAAGCCACCAAGTGAGTCACGTCACTACGACTTCCTCTGCTAAAATGAAGTGTTCCTTTTTGGTTTTAGGTTTATTGAATTGTCCTTCCTCCACGGGATGCTCAATGCATTTTCTGCTGGTGGGGTGGTTTGAAGTCAGCTGAGAGGGCAGGGGGGAGCGGAAACAGATGGCCATACTTTGGCTGCTCCGTTGGTCCTGGTAAGATCAGTTATAGCACTGTTGAAACAATTCCAGGTATTATTTTTGAATATGGTTTCCTCCTCCAAGCCGTGTGTCCTCCAAAGAATCTGTCCAAAGTCTCAAGATATTTACGTCTTCAATCTAAAAGTCAGAATGCATTAGCCAGGCAAACTTGGTCTCGGCGAGCTTAAAATAAACCAGTTCACTTTGAGTCTCACGCTATTAAATCAGTTGTGAATGTCCTCACAGCAACTAGGTGTTGCAGGTTTCCAGCTCTTCAGCATGCTCTTCTGGTTGCTCATTTCTTGAGGGTGCAGCAAAGAGCGCCGCAGCCTTTCTCAGCCTCAACTCAGCCCAAAGGGGCAAAACCCCAGGGGGCAAATTGCAAAAGCCTCATTGAGGACAAGTTGTCTTAATGAACTGCATCACAACAAGATTGTGCCTCCATGGGGCAAAGCATGGAATGGTTTGGGTTGGAAGGGACCTTTAAATGTCATCTAGTCCAATCCCTCTGTGATGAGCATCTTCAACTAGATCAGGTTCATCTAGAGCCCTATCCAGTCTGACCTTGAATGTTTCCAGGGATATGGCATCTACCACCTTTCTGGGCAACTCCTGTCACTGTTTCACCACCCTCATCATAAAAAAAATTCTTCCTTACATTTAATCTACATCTTCCCTTGGTTTAAATGGTTTAAAACCATTACCTCTTGTCCTATCGCTACAGGCCCTGCTAAGAACTTTGTCTCC